ACCCCACACCTGAAACTGCCAGGACTCACTGAAGGGTGGAGATGAATGGGGAGGAAAGAGGAGCCCCTGCATGCTCGGGGCAAGCCTGCGGGGCTGCAACACGGAGGACTTCTAGGTCAGCACTCCACTTGCCAAAAGCAATCTCCCTCTCCACACTGGCCTGTTGCAGCTTGAGTCAATTCATAGACGTGTATCAAACCCTCCAGTTTGCCAGGTCCTCAAAGTACCACCCATCAAGTGGCTCTCACAGTGGGGCAAGGCATCCTTACCCCACACGTAAATCAAATAATTCCTGAGACATCCCCTTAGCCCACTGCCTGCCCAGCCTAGAATAGCTGAGCAGATTCTTGTGCAGATGCAAGCAGGGTTTTGTCCTCATGGGGCTTACGGTTCAACCTGGAGACTGATTCTACGTGGAAAGTCAACACGCCCGTGAGAATGATAAAGACAAGAGGGTTGAAAGGCGGCCACTGCTGCAGTGGTCAGGGAGGCTGCTGGAGGAGTTGGGATCTGAGATAGCTTGGAGGAGGGGACATGTCACTTTAGGAGCCAGCAAAGGCCCACAGGTGTGAGAACACACCACATTTGAGCACCCTGGGTAGATCCCCCGACTTGAGCCCACGGTCAAGTCAGCAGGGCCGGGAAGAAGAGGCTCAGAGTTTGGGAGGGAGAGGTGGGTCTGTCCGGGGAAGATGGAGTTCCCAGCTGAGCAAGCAGTAGCGGGGAGCCACTGATGGTTCCTGAGCAGGACTGACGTGCATAAGGTGGTGTCTGAGGCAGACGAAGCAGAAGGCGACATGCTTGGAGAGGCAGTGGGTGAGGGGCAAAAAGCTTCTGTGACACCCTCTGTGACAATAACTGACACTCAAATCTTGTGCAAAACCCTTTCATTCTTCTTGTTCAATCTTCTTCCAACTCAGTGAAATACATAGAGTGGGTTTTGTTGTCCCCATCTTAGAGATAAAGAAAATGAGGTTCAAAGGAATGAATTAATTTGTCCAAAGGGACCAAATTGGAGAATCAAACTCAGGCTCTGTGTATCCAAATCCTGAACTCTTTCTACTATCCCATGTCTTAATGGTATGGGAAAGTGGGGACCCAGAAGGTGGAGACAGATGACCGGAGAAGGTTCCCCAGAGGGGGAAGTATATTCAGAGAAAGTAGAGCTCACTGGACCCGAGCATCCCTCCAAAGTCTTCGCACTTAAATGCTGATCTGGTGTCTGATCCAACCGGTGCCCATTCTGGGAGTCAGCGCGGCCTGGGTTCAGGTCTCCGCAGGTCACTTACCTGCTGTGTACCTTTGGACACTTTACTTAACCTCACTGAGCCTCAGTTTTCTCATCTATAAATTAAGACACCTGCACACAAGAGGCTTGTAAGGAATGAATGAGATCGTTATTATTATAATCCCGGGGAGACCGATCTCCTGGTCAGTCCCTCAAATCTAAACTAAGCCAACCCAGTGCTCGATGGGCTGACATGCAAGCCTCCTCCTCCCCTATGATCAATCAGGAGACCACCACCCTCCCCCTGTGACTTCTCCCAGCCTTATGCCACCCTGCCTGCCTCAGACCTCCTCTCCCCACAAGGATGCCCACATGTATACCCCCTATTCCATGTGGCCCCTAAAAGCAGGGGGCTCTGAAGGCATTCCTCCAGTCTGGGAGGGCTTCCTTGAGACTGTGCTGAATGCTGGGAATGCCTAATGATCCCGGGATCATTTAGCAAGGGAAAAAGCCAGACCTTTGCCCTGGCCCGGCTCACAGGTGATGGGGTTAATCGGGAATTCTCTTTCCCTCGCTCAGGGCTGCTGGTAGGGGTCCAGCTCCCCAATGACCTGGGGACACATTAGTCAGTGATAAGTGGGGCTTTCCAGCCCCTTTTATCCTGTTTACAATACACTGGCTTCCCTTAGACAAAACCCTTCTCCCCCTGCCTTGCTCCTGGCTGTTATGGCTACATGAGACAATTTGCTGATGGATTCTCCCAGGAGGGCAGCTTCCTTGGAGTCCCCTTCCCACCTCCTACAGCACCCGGGGCAACATCCCCTCCACCTGGTGGGTCCTGGAGGGGGCCACAGATGCTTGTTTTCTCAGCTCATTGCAGCCCCTGAATTCAGAAATGTCATCCTTTCTATCTGCTCAGCTTTAACCCACGGGGTTGGGGAGCATATCGAGACATGGTGAGATTAGGTTTCTCTGGCTTTGGGCTGGGGGTGACTAGGGTTGTTTGTTGCTGTCCAAAGCAGAAGCAATCAGAGGTATCTATTTATCTAAGACTAGGCCCTCTTTGGGTCAAAAAGGCCTGGTGATACAGCAGCTACTGGAGGGTGTGCATGACTGCAGCCTGGTCCTAGTCCTCTTCTGCCTCTAACAAGCTTGGTCAGGCAAGTTCATTTCTCTGAAGCTCAGTGTCCTTGTACAGAAGACCAGGATGGTGATGCCATCCTGTCTTCCATCAGGTGGTTATAAGCACAGAATGAGAATCAGTTGTGAAAGTGCTCGAAGAGGAGGCATTTTGTTTGTTGCTTCTACACTGATTCCAAGTGACAACTCTTTCAGCAAGACGGGCTCCATTGCTGGGGGCAGTTTTTAATCACCTAAAAGTCGATTTTCAAATAATTCTAGGCTTCCAAAACGCCAAGCAGGCAGAACACTCAGGAGAATGAGTTGATGAAATGAAGTCCATTTCAAGGCAACAGATATTTAATAAGCACCTACCTCATGCCGGGCTCTGAGCTGGATGCCAGCGAAATAGAGGGATGAAAGACACATCTTCAGCCCTCAGGATCATGAACAGAGCAATTCCCTGTGACAAGTGCTGATGCGGAGCACCAGGTGCTGAGGAAGCATGGGAGAGGGGCTCAGGGGGCACTTCCCAAGCAAGGTGAAGCCAGAGCTTCACCTGAAGAATGAATGAGAATAGACCAGGCCTGAGACAGAGGGAAGGGTGTCTGAGGCACAGGGAATAGTGCATGCAAAGGCCAAAATACACAGAGGCCCTGTGAGGAGAGCTGCAATTAACTTTAGTGAGGATGGGGGAAGAGGCCAAGGGTGAGGTCAGTAAGGAGGGCTCTATCTGCCAACACAAGAGTGTATTACTGTGCTCTCTAGGTGCCAGGGAGCTAGCAAAGGGATTACCATGTGGAGTTTTTTGAGATAGAATCTTGCTCTTTTGCCTAGGTTGAGGTACAGTGGTCCAATCATATCTCACCATAACCTCAAACTCCTGGGCTCAAGCAATCCCCCTGCCTCAGCATCCTGAGTAGTTAGGACTACAGGCATGCGCCACCACACCCAGCTAACTTTTAAGGATTTCTTGTAGAGATGGGGTCTCCTTATGTTGCCCAGGCTGATCTTGAATTCCTGGCTTTGGAGATCCTCCCATCTCAGCCTCCCAAAGCGCTGAGATTATAGGCATGAGCCACCACACCTGTCCTCTGTTGATTCTACTCCTGCTAGTAAGCCCGTGAACCCTTCTTGCTCCTACCCAGGGAAATGGTACTTTGTATCAATTGTAGCATATATTCTACTTCATAATGTAGCTTGAGGATATGATTAGCTCTCCCAATTGACTGTAAGAGACAAGGGAGATTTGAGGGCTGTGTCTTGCTTGTGTTCGTATCCCCAATACCTGTGCATGGCACATAGTAGATGCTTAATAAACATTAGAGTAAGTAGAAAAATTAATTTTAGGGAAAGAATGTACATGGGTGGACAGTCTCTTGGGACACCAAACTGGGTGGGATCCAGGATACAGGAAAATAGAGCATCAATTTGTCAAAGGAAGAGGAACATCTCCTCCCTTGGGAGGAACTACAGATAAGCCTGGCAGGATAGAAATGGGAAAGCCTATGTGGAAAGGAAGAAGTTACCAAATCCAAGTCCCAACTCAAATGCCATCCCCTTCATTAAGTTTTTCCTGAATCTCCTCCCAGAGTCAACCCCAGCTGAGCTCATACCTTTGGATCTTTCTGGATTTTCTACCTTTCAGAATGTTTATTCATATCGTTAAATAAAATTTATAGAAGGCCATTGGTTGGGACTGAGCTCCAACACAGAACAAACCTAAATGGACTTACTCATGCTGAAGTTTCACACCACCAAGCCGAAACTAAGTTGTTTATTTGATCTTTCAAAGAGAGAGAGAGAATAGCCATATTCCCCAGGATAGAACCCTCTGCTTTAACCTTTGCAAGTAAAATAACTCCGAAATCACCAATTTGCTTCTTGTTCTGTTTCTGCTTTCCTCAACCCTTTTCTGTCTATAAAATCATTCTCCTCTGCTCCGCTTACTGGAACATTCATTTTACTTTTATAGAATGAGGTGTTGCCCCAGTGCTAGAATCACAAACAAAAGCCAGTTAAGATCTATAACCAACTTTGTTGTAATTTTGTCTTTTGACAGTATACATATCTTATTTCCTTTCCTAGATCGCAAAACTCTTTGAGGGCAGGAGGAACCCAGTTTTCCCCACATCATACATGACACAGAATTATCACCCATTCAATGTGGGGTTATTGGGTGGATAAATAGGAATGCGGGGAGATGGGCAGGCGAGTGAGTGGACAAGATCGAGACAGGAAAATCTTGTGCCAGGGAATCCAGTGAAGAGCGAAGTCTCCAGACCCACAATCAAATGGTTTAAAGCGAAGGCAAGGAGGAACCCTCCCGCTCTCTCCACGGCAGGTAGAACAGGTACTCGCAGCTTGCCTTCGATTTTGCTCTGAGGACCTCTCGTCAGTACCCCGCGACTGTCCTTTCCAATGCCTGACTCAATCCTGAAGCCGGCCTTCGGCAAAAACCTACACCTTCTTGAGAGCCTACCTACAGCCTCCACGAGAGGCCAAGCTCTGACTACATTTATCCTTCCGTTGTCGGGCCTCGTTTCTCGTTCCCCGTCTTCGATCTCTCAACCACCGCCAGTAAGGCGCGCGTGCGGGCAGCCCCGGACGGTAGGCGAGGACGGGTCCTGCGACCGGAAACCGGAAGCCGGAAGGGGGGCTGTGAGGACGTGTTTCGAGGAAGCGAGACCCGGGGCCGACGCGGCCGGCGAGATGGAGCCGCTGTACCAGCAAACGCACAAGTGAGGGCCGCGTAGGGTAGCGAGCGGGGACTAGCCTAGGCGAGGCCGGCCCCTGGGGCTGGGGCCTCGGACGTCCTCCTCTGTAGAAGCCGAGTCCTTCCGCCGGGGCACTGCCGGGGCGTCTTGGAAGTGCCTAATCCCTGGCAGGATGCCTTGATCAGTCGCGGACAGTGGGGCCCTGTCTGGGGCCCAGATACGTTGGGCAGAGGGCTGCTGAGGTCTGCAAGCCCGTGATTAGTTGCTGGATAGAGTGGGTTGAATGGAAAGCCGTACCTGCACTTTGTCCAGCACCTGCCAACTCGGTGCTCTAGGTTGGTAGAGCTAGTGGGGAGACACGGAGAAGTAGGAGACAGGGCCACTGCCGATAGGACTTTACTGTTTAGTTGGACAGTCAAGGCGCATACGAAAAAAGTATTTTTATTTCTGTTTGACTTCCACTAAAAACCGCATTTTTATGGTACAAAGAAATCGCTGTACAAATAGTATTTGCTGTTATTACTTGTTAATCATATCTGGTTACAGGTTACCTTTAAGGACATCAAAGTTTGGTTTAGCTTCTCGTAACTTAAATTCCTAGGTAGTGTCCTTTATTTATGTTGTCCTGCGTTTTTGGAACTTGCTGAGATATGTTGTTGAGTATGGTGGATAGGGACCATACTTATCCTAATTTTTTTGAAAAAATTTTTATGATTTTTTATTGTAAAATACACAATATAAAATTTTACCATTTTAACCATTAAGTGTACAGTTCGATGACGATAAGTACATTCACAATTCACATCACCACTATTTCCAGAACTCTCATCCGAAACAAACACTCTGTATTTCCAGAACTCTTTCATCCAAAACAAACACTCTGTACCTATTAAACCATTCCTCCCTTACAGAGCCCCTGGTAACCTCTTGTACTTTCTGCCTATAAATTTACCTATTCTGCATACCTCATGTAAGTGTAATCATACAGTGTTTGTCCTTTTGTGTCTGAATTATTTCACTTAGCATAATGTTTTTCAGGTTTATGTTGTAGCATGTACCAGGACTTTATTCCTTTTTATGACTGAATAATATTCCATTGTATGTATATACCACATTGTGTTATCCATTCATCTGTTGATGGACACTTGGATTGTTTCCACCTTTGGCTATTGAGAATAATGCTGCTATCAATTCTGGTATACCAATATATGTTTTAGTTCCTGTTTTCAGTTTTTTGAGGTATATGCCTATCCTATTTTAAGAATGTTCAAATTTATGCTATGGTTCTGTTCTGATGAAAACACTTAAAAGCACACTCCCACGGCTTGGAAATGAAATAAAATAGACACTCAGCCTCCCTAATGAAATGACAAAAAATGAAATGTTTTGGAGTGTTAGGAGTAAGAGGATGATGATCCTCCTAATATTTTATTTTGTAAGTTGATGGGTTTCTTTCCTTTTACGTTGGCAACGAAGGGTTTGATTTAGGTGAGTGAAAATATAAAACCTACTTAGGAATGACAGAATTTGCTTTTATTCTGGGGAGCCCTCTTGTCATATAAAAATTATAGGAAGGGACTTAAAACTAGTTTGTGAGTCATTGGGAAAAGGAATGAAACAGAAAATTACGCTCATGTTACTAAGAAAGGGCAGATCTTTTACAATAGCAAGGCACGGTTGTCTAGTAGTGCCCTAAAGTTAATGTTATGTATGGTATCTGGTTAGTTAATTGGTTAAAGGACATTGCCCAGAAGGCCAGGGACCCAGTTTATTTTCAAGAATAATTTTGTTCAGAGAGTCTCTGATTGTACCTGTTATTAGTTCAGCAGGTAGCCAATTGCAGAGAAATCTGTGTAGCTCAGAAGAGGAATATTAAATGATGTCCCAAGTAAGATTTGTGGAGTATAGATGAACTACTTGCCTCTGTAGGCCTCCAGCAACCCACCTCGGACTCTAGCAGGGTTTGCCAACTTTTTCTGTCAAGGGCCAGATAATAAATGTTTTAGTCTCTGTGGGCCTTACAGTCTCTATGGCAACTGCTGAACTCTGCTATTATAGCGGGAAAGCAGCCTTAGACAATATGTAAACTAATTGATGTGCCTATGTTCTGATAAAATTTTATTTGTAAAAACAAGCAGTGGGCCACTTTGCCCCACCACTATTAGGCCCTCTACTACCCAGTCACTTATTCATTCAATGAGTATTTGGTGAGCACCTACTATGTGTTGGGTACCATTCTTGGTGCTGGTAGTACAGTGCTGCCCTCAAGGAATTTGCTTTCTTTTATGCTGCAATATGTTACTGTCTGCCTTTCCTCTCAACCACTGAGCCAGGAGTGGCAGTTCTGGTTCTAGACTTCCTTGCTTTGTTTTCCTCATCTGTAAAGTAGTAGTTTGGGCTGGCGAAACTGTAAGGCTGCTTTCAACTCCATAATACTGGTGATTCGGTGTCTTTCAGAGGAAGCACGTGAAGTCCTATGAGCACCAGCAATTAACTTTTGCAACTTGCAGAAATTGATGGTTGTAGCTGAATTGACACAACAGTAACTGAACATGTTAATTTTATTGGAACTTTGAACCCAATTTGTGATTATCTCTTGTCATGTTCCTAAAAGTACACTGGAATTAGATCAACACTTTAAAGTTACATATCTTGAAAATTCCTGATCTGAACAATGAATGAATGAAATATTATTTAAGTGTAAATTTACACTTAAATAATATTTCATTAAGATGACCTTTATAGAGGAGCTAATAGCCAGGCTTCTATTTTTGAGAGCCCAGTGGTTGTAAAGCTGCCCACCTTTTTTCCCTGTGTAGTCCAAGATCAGTCTCCTGTCCTAGACCTTATCTCTAGAGATTCTGACTCAGTAGGTCTGGGGCACAAGAAGCTGTATATTTAACAAGCTTTCCAGGTTATTCTGATGAGCAGCTGGGTTTAAGATCATTATTTTATCTCAAGACCAATTTTTCTTTTTCCGATTTTGCCCTCTGACGGGGTAAAGGCTAAACGTAGAGAGGCAGAGTGGGTGAAATGAAAATGACCAGATGGTTGCCACTACTTTTAAGTAAAAACAGCAAACTTATGTGATGTTGCGTAGGTTATACAGCATTTTCATATGTATTTCAATTTATAACCCTTAAATAGTTGTTAGTACCCCTATTTTATAGTTGAGGAGACTAGGTACCAAGGAGTCAAATGACTTGCTCAATGTCCCTAAGCTTGTACATAGTAGAACCTGTGTCTCCTTAATGGATGCCAGAATCTCTCTAGGACATATTTCTGGAAGGAGAATGCTGGGTCATAGGATGGAGACATATTTGATTCTACTAGTTATTTATTATCAGAAGGCTTTTAAAGTGTTTTAGCAATTTATAATCCTAACAGCCATGCATGAGAGTTCGAGTCTTCCTATATCCTTATCAATGTGTATGTTCTCAAACTTTAAAATATTTGTCAGTTTGATGCGGAAAACATGATGTCATTGTTTTTTGAGGGTTTTTTTGGTTTTGTTTTTGTTTTAGAGATAGACCCTCACTCTGTCCCCCAGGCTGGAGTGCAACACCATCATAGTTCACTGTAACCTCGAATTCCTGGGTTCAAGTGATCCTCCTGCCTCAGCCTCCCAAGCAGCTAGGACTGCAGGAATGCAACACTAGGCCTGGCTAATTTTTTTTAGTTTTTTGTGGAGATGGGGTCTTGCTGTGTTGCCCAGGCTGGTCTTAAACACCTGGCCTCCTGTCTCAGCCTCCCAAAGTGTTGGGATTACAGGCGTGAGCCACCGTGCCTGGTCAATGTCATTGTTTTTAATTTGTGTTTTCCTAGTAAAGTTGAGTATCTCCGTGTATTTATTGACCATTTGGGTTTCCTTTTCTGCCATTTGCCCTTTCCCCATCTTTTTAAAAATTGCTGTTTGACTATTACTGATTTGTAGCAATTCTTGATATATTCTGGATATCAGTTCTTTATTATCTGCTGCAGATATCTTCCAGTCTGTGCCATCTTTTTGTTCTTTTTTAGGGTACCTTTGGGGTAAAGAAGTTTTTTGTTTTAATGTAGTCACACTTATCAGTCTTTTCTTTTGTGGTTTGTTTTGGACAGGGGTTGGTTTTTGTCTTACGTAAGAAATCCTCCTTTAACCTGAGGTCATTTATGTACGCCTGTATTTTCTTCAGAAAGTTTTAAAAGCCTTTCTTTTTACATTTAGATTTTAAACCATCTTGAGTTTATTTTTGTGTGTTACCTGAGGTGTCTTTTTTCTATGTGGATAACAAATGGAGCTGTTAGCATTTATTGTAGTCCATTCTTTTCCAACTGGTTTATGTCACCAAGTTCCCAAATATGTGGGACTGTTTCTGGCCTCTATTCTTTCCTCTTGGGTCACGATTAGGGTTTGTCTTTCCTTGTGCATTTGTACCTGCACTGCTCCTACATTGTTTTAATTATCGTGGCTTTGTAATAAGTCTTAATAGCAGATGGGATAAGTCATTTCTTCAGAGTTGTCTTGGCTATTCTTTGTCCCCTTCCCCCCACCTTCTTATTGTATTGCTGTTCCTGTTGATAATGCCACCCTTCAGATTTGCTCTGTTAAGTCACTGAAAATTTACGTCACAGCCTACATCCAGGCCTTCAGTGAAGCCCGAATTCTCTCCATGGGTGCTGCCATCCAGCCGCTGTAGCTGTTGCCTCGGCTGCTCTGATCCACACGTCGGTCACTTCACACTGCACTCCTCCTTCAGCCCCCACACCCCCACGTCCCCCATCCCAGAGTATGCTGGACTTACCTTGCTGAAGCAGCAGTCTGGGCTCTCAGACTCTAGTAGTGATTTCTAGTTGCTTCTCAGGGCTGTAAGTCTTGTCTAGGAGTAGCCTCCGGAGTCATTTGACAGCTTACCTAGCTTCTTCTGGTGCCGTAGCTCATGTTTAGAGGCCACAGGGAAGCCCTGGGAAAGATCAGACACAAACTGAAACCAAATTTGGGTGCCTGGCTGGCACTGGTAAATTTGGGGTCATAGTTGGTAGTGCTCACAGTGGAGGAGGGTCACTCACCTTTCCCTCCGGAGTTGGGGTTGGGGTTGGGGCTGATGTGAGAGCTCAGCAGGCCCCCTTCACATGGGCTCTCACGTGGGGAGACCTCCGCCATAGGCACCAGGAGGCGGTTGTTAGGGCCAGCATGAGCAGTATCCCAAGGACTGATTATGGGGGACCACTAGAAAAGGTTCTGAGGGCGACCTTGGCCAAGCCCTGGGAAGCCTCCAGAGAGTGCTCTAGGGCCTGATGTCTGGGACCATGCCAGAGGTTCAGGGTACAGTGTCGCATTTCCAAACGACATGCAGTCCCTGTTGCCCAGGAAAAGATGTTTACCAAACAGGAGATCCCTATCTTTCAGGGCCTTCCTCTGAATGGTTTCCCCCAACTAATCGCCTCATCTGCCTCTCCCCTCTGCCCTGACTCTTTTGCAAGCAGGCCGGCCTGCTTCTAATCCACATGACATGTCTTGCATGCCTTTTTCATATCATTTTTTCCCTAATCTTCCTTCACCAAATTATTTCTCCCTTCTTCAAAGTGACGCTCAGAAGTCCCTCTGTCCACAAAACTTCTCAGCTTCCTCTTTCCCAGCCCCAGCCCTTCTGTTTGCTTGCATAGCTCCTCAGCTTTCTATTTGTTTACACTGATGTGTGTTGGTTTTCTCGTAAATCTTCCCAGGGCTTTTTCATGTCGATCTGGCCTGTCATTCCTAATTACATTGTTTCTCAGGGACAAGGATTATATCTCTCTTGCCCTTTGACTCTTCCTAATACAGACCAGTGCTCTGCACATTGGGTCGTAGAACAGAGTGTAGGATTGGCTGGGTCCAGTTTGAGGTTTATCACTTGCTGTGTGACCCTGAACAAGTTACATAACCTTTCTGGGCCTCAGTCTTATCAAATGAGGATGATGATAGTAGTTTAATATCAGTGTTAAGGTATTAGAAACCATGCCAGAACGTGTAGCCTGAAGTGCCACATACAAATTTTACAGTTCAGTGATGCCGTCAGTTTAAATCAGTTACATGTTGGCATCAGAAAAATTGTCTTTCCTGACTGAAGCGCTGTTGATTACTCCCGTCTCACTCATTTCCTCCCTCTTCCTTTGATAGGCAGGTCCACGAGGTCCAGTCTCACATGGGACGCCTGGAGACGGCAGACAAGCAGTCTCTGCACTGTGAGTAATTAACTATGGAGACCAGAGTCCTCTCTCTGATGACACGGTGCTAATGGGCTGGGTTTCCTGACTGCGCTCTGCCTCCGGGGCTTAATGATTCAGCGTGGAATGAGTTTTGTTGTTCGGGTGGACAGAGAGACCCCATGGCAAAGTCACTGATTTCCTGATTGTGCCCTTTGGAATCCCACCAGTCTTATCCCCCATTACCCCTCCACTCAACCTGACATGGCCCTATGGGAATGGAGGCTCCTTCCTCCATCTGTCTTAATCTAATTACCGAGTCCTTAGAGGAATGTACTCCATAAAAATTCAGAGATGTTAAACTGGAATTGGCCATTTCTTCTGAGCTGAGAACTGTGGCTTTTTAGGAGGATTATTCAGAAACGAAGAGCAATATTAATTAGTTTAGTTCCCACACCATGATTTCTTCTGAGAAGCATGCTGTTTTTTGGTTTTGGGATTTTTTTTTCTATTCTAAGAAAAGGTCCTTTTTCTGAGTCAGCTGTACAGACACCACCTGCAGGGGCTGTCTTCCCCGCTCACTGCTCGCCTGTCACCAGGCCCTTTCCTACTGTTTCTCATGTCTCCTTTCACAGCTTCAAAAGCATCCCTTCTCTTGCTTCTGCTCCCCACCTTGTTCTAATCTAAACTGTCTTTGTTGGCTGTGGGCGCAAAGGCCTAGAAGGGGCAGTGTCACTGCTGTCGCTTCTTTAGGGGGCAAGAGGCAGTTTGGCTGCTTTCTTTTGTGCACAGTTTAGTTTCTTTGTTAATTGGACTTTGTTTGCCTTCCCAACAATCTCATTGTTGCATGATTAGAAATGGAAAAGAGGTCATTTTGACCATCTTATCAAAAGGGATAAGGAAAATGACTGTTTATCATCTTTTTACCTCTGTGGAGTCTTTCCTGGGCCTTCCCTATTGGTTTTTGGTCTATTTTGGGGACTCCAGCATTGCTCAGCCCACCCGTTCTTACAGAAAGCCTAAGGGAGTGCTTCTCTGTACGTTTCACATACTAATTTTTCCTTTCCTTTGTGCTTTTTTTGTTAACCTCATTACTGTAGGGACTTCAGTTGGCAGTCTTTGTACTAGGTAGTTATAATCCATGTCTGAGAACAGTCTCAAAGGAAAAAAAAACCTATATTAGAAAATGTAGCTTAAAATATTTATTTGGACAACCTTTAAATGTTCATTTATTTTCTAAAGATAGGAAATTTATTTGTACAGGTTTACCTTTAGCTTTTTTTAAAAACTGGCATTGTTATGGTATGAACAGCTATATATGTTTTTCTTAGAAGCATTTACAGTATACCTTGAATTTTTTTCCATTCATTATTGTATACATTTTTCTCCTTTGAAATATGTATTTTCTAGTTTATTGGATATAGGAAAAAAATGTGTGATTTATCATTCTAATTTAAGTGCACTATCTCTTTTCCAGCAATTATTCTTTTTTCTCTTTTGTGCAGTAGTAGAAAACGAAATCCAAGCAAGCATAGACCAGATATTCAGCCGTCTAGAACGTCTGGAGATTTTGTCCAGCAAGGAGCCCCCTAACAAAAGGCAGAATGCGAAACTGTGAGTATCGACCTCTGACATGGCTCTCATACCCTAGGTCAGTCAAAACAGGCCTTTTGCAGGGGCTGTAGAATATTCTGAAATATTGAAGAACTGAGACTATGCAAAGATAAAGTTCCCCAAAAGGGTGCAGTTATATCTGAGTGATAACCCCTCAAAATAAAAAGCCTGCGAGCTTTTTATTTTGAGGGGTTATCAAAATAAACCTCGCAGAGAGGTTGTTGGCACAGAAGCCTGGTGACCCCTTACCTCTTCGGTGTCATTTTGAAATACTGCCTCCAGTTCTTTTTTCTGACCAGGTCCATGGCTACTTGAAGCCTAATGCTGCCAGGGAGTTTTGTTCTGCTATTTGGCTCCCACTGGTCCTTGGGTTGAAATGAAATCTTGATCTTAATCACTTCAGTCAGTCTATTTATAATGAAATACTGATCTAATGTTTGATACTCCACCATGAAATTAAAATGCAACCACCCTCACCACCTCCACCCCCAGCTCCTGATTCCAAAGGGTTTATGAAACTTCACTGATGCTTTACCTCAAAGTCGCCCTTGGGCTTCTTTCAGAGGAGTGATATAATTCATAGAAGGTCAGGAAGAGGTCATCTAACCTGCTTCCTGTCACCTGTTCCCTGTCATGCATCCAGAATCAGAGACCAGCAGATATTTAAGTAAAGCAGCTAGAATCTTGCGTGCTACAGCCTCACTTCAACCACAGGCTACTTCCTTACTATCAACACCATTGATCAAAATCAGATCTCTTGGGGGATAGTGCAGGGTGGTGTAGGGAGCAGTAAGGAAACATCGTCTTTCCCGAATACACAGCCTGGCTGCCTCAGATTGTGCCGCCCTGGTTCCTGGAATTTAATCTCTCTCTCCATCAATTCTAGTCGTGTTGACCAGTTAAAGTACGATGTCCAGCACCTGCAGAGTGCTCTGAGAAACTTCCAGCATCGGCGCTATGCAAGGGAGCAGCAGGAGAGACAGCGAGAGGAGCTTCTGTCTCGCACCTTCACCACTAATGTAAGCCAGGCACGTGGTGGGGGTCTGCAGGCACTTGGCAGATCGTTGGGGGCTGGAGCTCGGGTCTCTGAGCTTTGTCTTTTTCGGGAGTGTCTGAAGCCTACTGATGAGAGGGAAACCAACTGAAAATGCCAGTGGACTCTGTGCATCCCCACAGATGTTAGACCTAGATAGGCAGTCTCTTTCTCTAACACAGAAACCTGAAGAGGAAGCAGTTAAATTGAAGGAATGGGCAGAGGTGAAAATTACCTGGTTGGACTGGTCCGTTGCAGAGAGGTGGAAGTTCACATGGTAGAAACGTTTTTCTCATCAGATAGAGACAGATGATTAGAACTTAGACCATTTGTAGAGAAGGCAGCATTTCAAAGCTGCCTTCGGGCAGTTGCCATTGTGCCGTGTATGTGTGTGGTTCCAGTGTCAGATGCATTAAAATGTTTTTGCCCCTAGTCTGAGCAGCAGTTTGGAGGAATTTGTTAACAGATGTTTACGGTTAGATGAACTGCTTGACTTGAATCTGTTTGAAAATGTGTTGGTTTGCATGTTTGATTTCTTAGAACCCATTATCTGTGCCCTTTAATTGCAATAGTATCATTTCCTGCACATGGTTGTAGAACATACTGGCCTTTTTCTGTGTCCCGCATAACCTATTCCACCGAATGAGATGGGTTTTGGTTTTTTGTATTTTGTTTTTTACAGAGAGGTTTATTTTCTAAGAGATTTTAGCTTTCTAAGCCTGTCATTAGAATTCATATCATTTCCCACTGTGCAGATGTTTAACTCTTGTTGCTGCGTCCGTGCTTTGCAGTAAATTTCCCCAAGCTTTTCAGAATGTGCCTACATAGTTTTTGTTTCTCCAGAGTAAGCAGTCAAGTCACAATGTTTAACAATTCAAAAATGTAACAAACTGTAAGACACACTAAGAGATGTTGTATGGGCTTTTGATAGTTATGACGTTGTATTCAGGCCTTTCTCAGGGAAGGGATGATTGCTTAGGATTATTTTTGTTTCTTGCCACAATAACGCTGTGCATACAATAGGCCCTTAATAAACATTGGCTTGCCAAATGAAACTTATTCCTGGTCACTCTATGATCTGGTGCTCTGATACATTTTTCCGAGAGATAATGGCCCATCAGCCGTACCCTTTCAGATGGGAGGGTAAGAAAGATTTGTATATAAATGGCATTCAGTAAGTGTTTGTGAAATAAATGAAGAGAAGTCTCTAATTGATTCTTTCTAACTTTAGAGTCTTTTGACCCCACTGAGCATTGGCTGTATGCAGAATGCTATTTAAGGTGCTAAGAGTAAAACGTATGAGAAAATTAAAAGACATGACTCCTACCTCTGAGAAGCTCCCACGCTAGCAGGGGTGATGGAAATGTACACATGAAAAATGATTCTGAATTTGACCAGCAAAGAAAAGATGGTTTAACCTCTTTATGACAATTGAAACAGCACTACGTGGCAGGAGAGTTTGTAATCGTCCGGAGGCAGGAAAGCAAAGAGAACTCTATTACCGCTGTAATGCCTTGCTCCTGTCTACCGCCCGCTTTCAGCGTAAAATTAGAGCCACCAGGATTGGTCTTGGTGCTTCTCCCACAGTACGGTTAGGAGGGCAGGCCTTGCACTCAGGACCCAGATTCTTGCCCTGCTGGACTCTTACCAGCTGTGTCATCTTGGAGAAGTCATTCCACTTCTCTGGGCATCAGTTTCTTCATCTGTAAAGTGGGGATGATTAGAGTAATCATTGCAGAGAGTGGGGATTCAGTGAGTTCAGGGCGATGAGCCTGTAAAGCGGAAAGCACTGGATCAGGATTAGTTTTTTCTCTCTTCATTTCTTCAGCAAACTTTTCTTGCCTGCTCAGAATAGTCTCATCCTAAACACTGTTAGACCTTTAATAGAAAGCTGTCTTTTCTGTCCTTAGCCCCGGTCTACTTGGAGAGATAAGCTATAGATAAAATAGCTAAAGAACAAAACCTTTAAGGGAAAGCCAAGTAAAAGAACATTTGGAACAAGCTAGGTTAAAGAGTGGTCAGAGAAAGCCCTCAGGAGAAATCCAATGAGGTCTTGAAGGAATAGTTTTTCCCAAGCGGGGATAATGACACAGAGGCAGGATTAAGAATACTTGTGTGGCGGAACTCGTTTGGAGAGTGACAGATGTGAGACAAGTTCCTCCTCTTCCTTGTGAACAGAGGCCACCCCAGATTGTTGCCTTCTCTTTGTTAGGTTCCTCTGATTCTTGCACCAGTCCCTCTTGCTGTTCTTCTGGCTTGGCCTTGGCCTGGGGCAGTCAGCCCCTGAGAGATAACTAGTAAGCGAAGTTAATCAAGTGCCTGCGTTTCTTTCATAGGACTCTGACACCACCATACCAATGGATGAATCCCTGCAGTTTAACTCCTCCCTCCAGAAAGTTCACCACGGCATGGATGACCTCATTGGAGGCGGGCACAGTATTCTGGACGGACTGAGGGCCCAGAGACTGACTTTGAAGGTGGGGTCCCTACTGGGGGACAGGGAGAAGGCCTCTTGCTTTGCCCTCATCCAACAGTTTGGTACCTGTGTTTACATTTTGATTACGTGTCCCCGAATTGTGATATTTTGATGACAAGACAGAGCCCTTGAGTTTGGGATCTTTCCTGTTGGAGTTGAGCTATTGTGAGCCTAAAAGTAACCAGCTCCTTTTCCAGTGCTTGGAACAAACCATAAAGTGGCCTCTCTTGGTTTCTAGATCTTTTCCCATTTATTGAACTTATCCGAAAGTGACTGCTACCACAAGGGGAATGGATAATAGGCTGAGAAATTCCGTATAGAATCCACTCTTGTACAAATGAAGACCTGGCTATAGTTTGGTACCTCACCCCAAGGTGATTTTCCCTTAGGGTCCCTCTTGGGGACTGCCTTGTAACTAAGACCTTTTTGTACTTCAGTAACTGAATCCCCGTGGGTGGGGTCTTCGGGCTGCCTGGTTGATTGCAGTAAATAGCTTCTAGAGCACGTGGTGGTGATCCCCAGCGACTCCTCACTCTCTTTTTAGCCACGGGTAGTCCTAGAAGCCCTGCCCCATTGGCACTGCTGAGACTCTAGCTAGCCCCTGGGAGTGGTTCACAGAAACATTACACAGCCTCTGATGTCAGACACATGTTTCAGCCTCAGCCCTTTTCCTGTATCAGCCCTGATGGATAATGGGGTGTGGGCTCTGCCTGTTATCAGGGTGTGGTTCCCTGTGAACGAAGCACTCCCAGCCACTGAGCTGTGAGAAACAGTCACTCGGAAGTGTGAGCTTTATCTTAGTTTTTGTTGGACCATGTTGAGCCTGTCAGCTCCGCAGGACTTCGGTACATTTCTGAACAGCCCCTGTTTTACCGGGGAGAGGGTCAGGCAAGTGCAAGTGACACTCGCCTCCTGCTGACAGTTGCGGTGTTTCAGATGGCCTGGAAGGGTGGTCTCTGGCAGCCTGCTGGGTGGGCCCCTTTCATAAGAGCCACCTGCAGTGATCTGAACTGATACCATGTTGATTAGCCTGCCCTCTCTTTAGGAAACTGCTGCTCTCCTTTCATATCTCTGAAAAGCAGTAGAGCCCTTTTAGGATGACACTCTGTGTCACACTGATGAAGAGCCTGTGGGGGTTAGAGCTGATTGTTAAGGCACGTGTTAGCTTCCTGCTGAAGTCTGGCAGCACCGAGAGAGTCCACGCACATCCCGCCACCCACGTCCCGCGACCCACACTCTGTTGTCGGAGGTGAAGTGCTGGGAGGCTGTCGAGGTGCTTGGGGCTTGAGACGGGGTTCTAATTCCATTTCCTCTGTGCACCTACTACTGCCTGGCTTTGTCTCTTGATTCCCTCTACGTGCCTCCCACCCCGCCTCTGCCAGGGGACTTTCTGCCTAAACCATTTCAAAGGAACATAGGAGAGGGCATGAACGAGCTAGGCTGAAGCACCCTGATGTGGGCCAATTGTGGTAGAAAATGAATACACTTTTTGACATTTATGGTCATTTGTAGATGATTTAGAAGCTTGATCCTTAACCTCACACGGTGATGAAATAATTTGCACATTCAGAGCCAAGCAAGACTTTAACAAGAGTCTAATGTTTACTGTCACCATCATGGAAAGAAAACATTTCTCTGGTTTCCTCTGACAGCAGTCAGGTTTGACTTGTGATCTCTCTCGATGAAGCTTGTTAATTGTTGTCTGGGTGGAATGTAGGCTTTGAGTTCCTGTCCATAGTGCCTTGTGGTGTTCTCACTCCCCTGCCTCTTCTCTCAGTTGCTCATTAATGTGAGTTCATTGCAAAGATGGATGTGGGTGGGGCATTAGGTTAGATGCCATCCATGTGGGTGCAGTTGGTGTTGTGTGTAGGAGTAACCTGGGATCTGTACAGTGTTCATTACGCTTGCTAGTTCATGAGAAATTAGATATGCATAAAGATGAAAATTAGAAAGCAGTGAGGAAGGGCAGGCTGGATGGTTTGGGCTTTGGGTTTAGAAATAAAATACTCTTTTGTTTTGGTGGTGGGTGCTGACATTTATATAAGGGGTTTTAGGTCTTTATGTTGGTGTTTCTGTCTTTCCATCTTTTCCCACTTCAAACCCTCTCATCAACATGGACTTTGGCCCACATATTGTACTTGGTAGAGTCCCCAAAGATTCTACTCCACAAAGTGAACAGGTTGGTATCAAGGATTATTAGATCTAGGGAGCCAAGAACAAGGGTTTTGATGTTGCCTTTTTAAAATATAAAATATTTTAATTTTTACTGAGGTATAATTTACATACAGTGAGGTATACAGATCTTATTTGTACAGTTCAGTGAATTTTGACAAATGCGTACAGCTTTTACTGACATTCCTATCAAAGTACGGATCACTTCCATCAACCCTGAGAGATCTCTCCTACCCCTTCCCAGTCAGTCAACCCCTCTCCCCCAGCCAGCCACCGTTCTGATTTATTTCTCCATAAGTTAGTTTTGCCCGTTATTGAACTTCATATAAATGTATTCATACTACTCTTTTGTGTGTGGCTTCTTCCTCTCAGTAGTGTTCCCGAGGCTCGCTGACATTGTTGCGTGTTTAGTCACGTGTTGGTAATTAGGTGCTCTCTATTGCCCAGTGGTATTCTGTTGCGCAGATACAGTAATACCGTAATTTGTTCATTCATCCTCTGGCTGATAGACACCTGGATGGTTTCTAGTTTTTAGTTGTTCTCCTATGTGTTTCTCTAGAGGCTTTGTTGTAGTTTTGGCTCTTACGTTAAATTCTATAACCCATCTCAGTGTTATACTATACATGAATTGAGATGCATTTTTACGCACGTATGTATATGTGATATATATGAGATGTATGTGCATCATATGCTACGTTTATATGATATGTCGGCAGTCATTCCAACACCATTTGTGGAAAAGACTTTTCTTTCCCTGGTGCATTGCTCTGGTACTGTGATCAAAAATCAGTTGGCCATATGAGAGTGAATCTTTTTCTGGTTGGTGCTGCGTTCTGGGCATGACCAAGAGAATGTCTGTTGGTAAAGCCCCATCTCGTGATGACATTCACCACCCTTGGCAAAGCTAGTTGATCTTTGTTTTTCTTTCTCTTCTCATCTGCTCCAGGGGACTCAGAAGAAGATCCTTGACATTGCCAACATGCTGGGCTTGTCCAACACAGTGATGCGGCTCATTGAAAAGCGGGCTTTCCAGGACAAGTACTTTATGATCGGCGGGATGCTGCTTACCTGTGTGGTCATGTTCCTCGTGGTGCAGTACCTGACATGAGCCGGCCCAGCCCAGCAGCTGAACAGCGTTCCCACCGCGTGCCAGTGTGTGTGAGTGTGTGTGCATGAAAGAGAGGGGGGCTCATAGGCCACCTTTTGAAATGTGTGCCTGTCTTAACTGTGAAGACACTTGGGAGTAATTGTGATCTAGATTCAGACGTGCTCTGTTTTCTGTGACATCTTGGAGGGGGAGCTAAGGCCACCAAGATGCGCGGTGCTTAGGAAACGAAAGCAGTCCCTATTCTCTCTCTCTCGCTCTCACTCTCACTGGGGAAGGGAAAGAATGGCTTTGGTGGCTTTGTCCATACAGCTGAAGTGCATCCTGGGAAGGCTTCCACACTGAGCCTTGTATGCAGGACTCTCCACACTTTCACACCTTGTCATCATCCGGCCTTTCTGGCTCCTAATGCATAGGCTGGAGCAAAAGCAAGAAGGAGAAGAAAGAGGCCTTCTTCTCCTGCAGCCATTATAGTAGATAGATTCACATGCTGTTGCTCCTGGCCACCTCCTCACCCCCCCCTCCCAGATGACATGTAGCTGACTAACTGCTAATACTCATCACTCTTCCCTGGGAGCAGCTACCTAGGGGAAACGAGGCATTGAAGCTGTTGCTGATAACAAGTAAGATTTTCCACATTATATTTGTTGGGTGTTTTCTCCTAAAGTGAGGCCAGTGTTATTCCCTGGGAGAATTCAGTCTTGAGACTGAAGACTGTAGTCAGTGATTTTTTCCTAGTCATTCACAGAATGGTTGGCTTTTAAGATTCAAAGACTGCAACTTGGTACCTCTGCCGGGCTTTGGTGGGCCTTTGCCCCTTAGAAAGTAGCTGTGAGCAAAGGTTAGTGATTTGTCAATTACAGTCTCATCTCTGGGTTTAGCATCTCTTAATTCTTTGACTGTCTTCTCCTCCTTGAAATATATTAGCACCTGCTAGCCAAGGCCCCATTCTGCCTAGCCAGTGTAGGCGGATACCACCCTGGAGGCATCCCTAGTATGTCTGTCCTTGTAATACCCTGTTTTCAGGGACCACAGCCTTTTTCCTTCTCTGACTGGCCCTGGATGAAGGCTGTCCCAATACCCAGTATACTGTGGGATTTATTATAAAGCCAGTCTGTCTTGAAGTCTCTGATGTGATTATATGGTAAAAGTACCAGAAGGACCTGGGTAGTATATTTTCTCATTTATCACAGGCCTTGCCAGCCCTACTGTGGGCACAGTAGCCTGATGGCAAGACATAAAATAACCCTCAGAATTCCCCAGAGGAACTGGAAATCTGGTCAGTATTAACCCCACCTTTGATTGCCTTTCCCCACCTACTTCCTGTCTTTGTGTGTCACTTGAACTGTCTTCTAATTTCCCTTCTTTTCTGTGTGTGTTCCATTTCACCTCCCTTACTCCCCTCCTACCTGTTTCTGTAGCCATATTGGTCTCTTCAGACACATCTGTGACGTATCTCCCCTTTTGGTGAATTTTTTTACTTGGCACAGATAGTTAACGTGAGTTTCCTGGGTACTAACTTCACACTTTTGGTCAGATAGGATCTCCATTGCTCCTACCCCTCTGGTCCAAACAGGGGCCCTAGATTTCCACGGAAGGAGGAATCTGTGATCCCTTCTGAAAAGGGTTGAGGGCCCTGCCAGAGTGAAAACAGTGGCCTGGAGGGTGCAGAGGGTTGCAGCACCTTCAAACCTAGTTCTAAGTTTGGGGTGGCAAAGTTTTAAATTTTCATCACATCAGCACCCCTGCTCTCCTAGGGCCTACCCACAGGGTTCTTGGCAGTCCATAAAATATATTTTTGGACCACACAGACCCAGCTGTCCTGTCCCCTGGGTACCCACACTTTGGAGGAAGGTATGCAGGGAGCAGCTGAGCCATTTGGATTTAGACTCTGTGAGACAGAAGCCATACCTCCCAACCCCCTCCCTGCACTGGCTGATGTGACATCTTTGTAGCGTATACCAACGCATTTCCATACTTCACAGCAGGTGTTGGCCTCGGTGAGTTTTCCTGCTGTACCTTGAGAGCCAGTTCCCTCCCCTTCTTTGGAATAAAAATTGTGAAGGTAGTTTGTGGATCTTTACCCCCTGGGGCTCAGGAAAAGCAGCCAGTTTGTCTGGAGGCCCAGGGGCACTGAGACCGTGTCATCATGTGACCACCTTCCTTCACACTTTCAGTGTCCTGTGAGAAACACACCTTGGTCTAACTGGGTACAACTGTCTCCACAGCCTCCAGCGTAGGGAAGGGTCCCAGGCCAGGAAAGGAGCACCCTCTAGTGGAGTCGGGGGTGAACTCTTGGGTCGAGCTGGTGCAAGGAACCCCAGTAGCCGGCCTCTGCCACCTGGTACAGGAGTTTGGTGAGCCTACTGTGGTATAACACAAGTGTTTTGTCAGGAGGAACTTAGGAATATCTTTATTACACGGACATTCACTCAAGGTATGACCACTTTAAGAAGCCAAACTCAAAGACCAAGTAAGTAGAAGAGTCTTGATTTCATAGAAGACATCACTGCTGGGTTTTGTCCTCCGTCATTTGCCCTAATGAATTTAAGTGGGTTTGATTTGCAAATTTGGATTTACGCCCATTGTTTTTAAAGCACATCAGTTGAATAAAGTTGAGATTTATTTTATTTAGAAAATTACATTTTGTAAAGAACTCTGACATTCATTGTTATAACTCACGACCCCCTTCTTTCTGTTGCCATGCCAGAGAGTCTCAAACACTGCTCTGTGGCCTGCTGCAGAAGCAGCTAAAAAACTTTTTAAAAATTACAGATTCTAGGGCTCTACCGCAGACCTTCTGAATTAGTACTTTTTTTTAAGTCTCTAAGGTGATCGTGATTCTTATGTTGGAACCACCAGTCTTCTAGACAGAAGGCTTCTGTCTTAATCAAAGATGATAGCATTTGAAAGTATATGCTAGCTCAGCATGTAAGTGTGAAGAGCAAAATTTGTCAAGTCCAAAATAGCATCTTACTTGTTTATATCCTACCTCATTGCAGAAATGATTTGAGGAGACTTATAGGAAATAATTAAAACAGGGAAATTATGAAGAAATGAGAATTAAGAACAAATCAAATCAGAGTAGGATGTCAATACCAAGAAAAAGAAACTCAAATATAAAGCCCTGCAGAAATGCTCCGGGGAACCCCTTATTCGGCTTTGAGCTCTGGCAGCCACAGCAAAGGCAGAAGCATGCTCTGTTGCTGTCTGAATGTGGGGTGGGGTGACATACTTGCTTAGGCAAAAATGCACGTCTTTAACACTGCCGGCTTGCCTGTGGCCCATACTGGAAGTCAAGCAGTTCTTTTCCTGGGTCCTTGCTAATCGCAAACCCTGGGTTAGGTTCTGTATTATCCCCATTGTGCAGACAAGGGGGCTGAGCTTTACTGACTTTCCAAAGGCCTCACAGGGAGTCCTGGAGGAGCCGGCCCAGTGCCCAACCTCGTAACCACTGCGCCGACGGGCCACCCATCCTTCCCATGAGGAGTTCTGCAGTAGTGTGGGGGATCAAGACGATCAAGGGGACCGAGGCAGTGAAACCTGCTGGCATCAGGTATAAAGCTATAAGGTATTTGTTGCAGACAATTCAGACCTTACGTGGCAAGCTCTCTGTTCTGAAATAATTTCCTAGTTGAAAGGGAAGAGTATTTGCGGGAGCTTCTCAAAGTGGAGGATGAAAGCTGTACTCAGGCCTCGCCACTAGGGGGCGACGTAGCCCTGACTGTGGCTTGTGTGCCTGGCACTCTGCTCTGGTGCCACAGGCCTGCAGTACTTAGGAGGAAACAACTGCAGATTTGGTTGGGTCCCTTTTAGACCGAAAGTTACCTGTTTAGCAGTGGCTCTGGGCTGTTACTGGAGCTCTCAGCATGACCACAAATGACCTCCAAACCCCCAACTTGTTCTAAATCTTCAGCACACGGATGCGTTGCAAGTAAGCATGGAAAGCACGTCTCGAAGTGTGGTCATTCCGTCCCTCCTTTCCGTGCCCTTTCATGTGGCACATGGGAGGAGGAAATGGGATGGCAAGGGGAGCAGAGGTGAGTCTGGCAGGTGCTCGTCCCCCTCAAGTGCAGTGGTTAAGTTCCCCACTGCAGAACCTTTGTGAGCAGTCCCTCCTCGCCTCTTCCTTGTGTCCCTCTGGCACAGGGTTCTCAACCTTGGCTGTGCATTGAGGTCCCCTGGTCTTACCTTGACCTGCTGGTGAATTGACCTGGGGTGCAGACTGGGCATTGGGAGTTGCCCAGGGGATTGTAACGCACAGGTGTGGGCCAGAACAGCTGCTCTAGCACAAGAACATCAACCCAAGGTCAGGCTGTCCCCCATGGACTTCCCTCTGGCTGCACCAGGGGAACCACTGCCCTAGACCAGCTGGGTCTTGTGGTGGAAGCCTAATTTTCCTGCCTGATTTGGGAAGGAGCCAGATCCTTGACCAGTGGGAACCCCTGATTGACGCCTCTGCCTGCTGAGTAAAGCGCCTTAGTGTGACAGGCCAACCCTCCCAGCACACCCTGCCTGGCACTCCATCCTGGGCTGTTTGCCTTGTTCTTTTGCATAGCTGCACCTCTGCACTAGATGTTTCCCCCAGGGATGTGCCACAGACACCCCACAATCCCATGTCACCTCCAAGAAGCCTGCCCCTCCCGGCCAACATACCTCATGACGTGTTGCGCATTTCCTGGGGAAAGGTGGTGGTCGCTCCTCAGTGCAGGGACCTCTGTGCATCCCGTACACACAGTAAGTGCTCAATGGCTGGGTAAACAGCCAGGAGGAGAGCACTTGAGCCCAGGCTGTGCAGGTAACAGAAACGGGAGCAATGGTCCAGCAAAGCTGTTGTGGCCAGGCCAGAAGGAAGCCAGAAGGTTCAAGGCCACTGATGCCATGGGCCTTGTGTTTATATGCTCTCAACAACAGCAATGGCTACAGTAAAAGGAGCAGAGGCATGGGACCCCATGAGGAAAAATGTGTCAGCCAGCACTGGGGAGAGAGAAATAAAGTGACCAGCTTGTCTGGGTTTTAAAGGCGAACGTCCCAGATCCTGGTAACCCCCTCAGTCTGGAGTAAACTTGTTGGTCACCCTAGATAAGCTAGAGGCTAGATAGTCATGACTAATGCAGGGTTTGCAGGAAGGGGGGACTGTGGCCTGGGAGTCTGACTCCCTGACTTAGCAGCTCCATTGGTGGGATCTCACCAGCCCATCCTTCCAGATGCCTGCGACGCGAAGGCTCAGCCAGGCCCAGG